GTAGTGGGGAGTGTTAGTGGGTGGGAGTATAGTTAGGAGAGTTTAGTGGTAATTTGCAAGTCTATTTTTTAGTTTTGTGAATTGTTCTTTTGTGGAATTCCAGACCACATCTGGATATGGCGAGATCGCTGTTCTCCACCAAGGAGCTGATCCTCATTTGCTGGGGAAACATTACTAATAATTGTATTTTCAGTTTAAAACATGTCCAATTCCTAGATCCATTGAGGTACATAGCAAAGGTTTCCTAACTATACAGGTGGCACAGACACAAGCATACACCCAGGGCCACTGTTAGATATCACGGGGCCCCGTACAGCATACCTGACAGCCCCCCACCGCCAGAGAAAATATCCAAATTATATTTATGGTAAAAATACACTAAAAACATTATTAATGGACATAATCCCAATCACATTCCAGTGAAGTCTAAATGATAAAACTGTACTGAGTTCATAAATAAAGCTGTGTGTGTAATTGAGGTCTTGCGGCTCATTCACATGGGTGCTGTGGCCTGTAGAGTGGGAAACAGTGGTTTGTTTTTGTGGCTATCGCCGTTTGCAGGCAACCTATGTTACACTATGGAAATGCTGCAGGTCATAATTTGACAAGCATATGGGTGCAGGTATACAGCCCTGAACACAGACAGTGAGCATTCAGGGCCACTTCCCCATGCCTTCACACCTGTCAGATTAAAACCTGTGTTCATACAGCTGTGTCCCCATAGTGTAACAGGTGGCTCCAGCCACATGAACAACCCACTCATTCATGCTGTACAGGCCAGGGGACCTGTGTGAATGGGGCATTTTTTACAGTTTTTTTCCTCAGCTGATTAATTTCAATGGGCTGCCTAACGTGTGGGAACATGCAAAAATACTGCAGGCATATTATTTTCAAAGTGTGTTGCACCTAACCGCACAGTAGCACCGCACCTAACCCATGCGTTTTGGTGGCTGTGAATGGGTCTGTTTTTAATAGACGTGTGTATGTGCAATTATGTTTTCATCATGGTACCTGCGCACATCTGCAAAGGCCATTGCATTTCTTTGCTGTGCTGGAAAATGTGTGTTCTTGCATGCGTTTCTGCACCACCAATGGTGTGAACAAGTCCTATAGTTCACACTATTGAAATAGTCTAGATTTGTTTCTGATGCGTTTTTGCATGCCCTTTTGGCATGCATGTTTAGTGTGTTCCAGTACATTTTTTTACAATGTTTTGGACACGTTGCATTGCATTTTTGTATCCCTTCCAGTTAGTTTTTTCTACTTTCTTTTTATTCAATTTAATTATGGACATGTGCTTTTTAGTACATTCAAGGGCGTTTCAATGCGTTCCGGTACAGTTCTGTGCAGAAACAATGCAGCGTGACAGCATCTGCAATGCACTGAAAATGCAAGCGCTGATGTGAACTATGATATTGACAACCATATAACCTTCTTTGTGATGCTGAAAAAGCAACTGAAACACATGTAGTGTGAACTGGCTCTAAAGATTATTAGAGGTAAGGGAAAGGGACTGACCAGTAATTGTGAAATCAATCAGGTTTAAAAGAAGATAAAAAAAAGTTACAATGAAATATACACAGCATGAAACTTGCACATTTCCAACTTGTCAGAATAACAGGATGCAGGTAAGATTCAGCACCTTTCCACTTTGTAGTCATTAGGCAAAATCTTAATTGATTGATCAATATTACTGTCACTGACACAACCCAGAAAATTGATCTCCATTTTTTTAACATTCATAAATGTCAAGGAGCTTATAATCTAAGGGCAGAAACACAGCCATGTACTAAGCCCAATTAACCTAACAGGATGTTTTTGGAGTTTTGGCAGAAACACATCCATACATCCAGGGAAAGCATGCAAACTGTGATGCAGCCATGACTGGGATTAGAACCCATGACCCAAGTTTTGTGAGTTCTGAGTTCTAACCACTAAGCCACTGTGGGAGACAGAGTTTAAGCTCCAATGTAGAATAGTTACATTTATAGTTATCATTTAAAAATGATAAAGCGGGTGAACTACACTATTAAGCACCTTTCTGGCTCCTGTGGCTGAACTAATTCCTCCCCAGGACCATTTTGGCAACCACCCTGATGGATGGATGGATGGATGGATGGAGCTGGATGACTAACCCATAGCTGCCAGCATACCGCTGCACCCCCAGATGTGTGATGTGTATAACCCATGCGCATTAATACCTTAACATAGAATAGTTACATAATTAAAGAGAAGGAAGCTATGGGAACTTAGAACTAGACATTCCAAATTATTTAAGATATAAGTGTGAAAATGTTTAACATTTAAAAATAGAATGTATGACATTCATTATTAAATGCATTAGTTGTCTGATCATTTTGGAGAAACAGCAAAAAGCAAAAAAAAAACAAAAAACAAAATATAGGTGTACTTTTTATTTTACATTCTAAGTATTCTCTAATGCAAACAGAAAAACACCATAGCCCGTGGTTGTGCGCCATCTAGTGAACATATCCAGTATTGCACCTAAAATGTGCCAGACGTGATTCCACATTTACTAAGAGGAGGAAAGAGTTTACAAGTAGACACTTTTCATTTAGTTTTCTAGACGCCTTTCAAAAGACTGACAGGTCTAGACTGTTTGAATGTTCAGAGTCTACTGGTAGACTCTATTCTTAGTAAATCAGGGCCAAGCATCTCATACAGTTGCTTGATGAATTAGAAGAATTAGAATTAGAAGAAGACTGTAGTAATGTTATTATGGCCACAGTGGATGTATCATCCTTGTATACAATTATAAGCCATAGAGAGGGTATGGAAGCCACTGCATGGGGTATTAGGAAATATGGGAATTTGACAAGAGGGCAGAGAGGGTTCATTATAGAGTGTCTAGAATTCTGTTTGACACATAATTATTTTTGGCACAATAATTCCTTCTACAATCAGATAAAGGGGTGGCGATGGGGGCTCGCTTTGCCCCTAGTGTGGCTAATTTGTTTATGGCACATTGGGAGGAAGAAGCAGTATATTTGGAACCCCCAAGAGAATTGATTATGTACAAAAGATATATAGATGACGTTATCCTATTATGGAAAGGCAAAGAAGAGAACCTATTACACTTTTTAATAATTTAAATGTGAATAATAAAAATATCCACTTTACTTGGGAACATGATCAGGAACAAATTAGTTTTTTGGATTTGGATATTAAGATTAAACAAAGGAGGATCACCACTAAGACGTTTTTCAAGAGTGTTGATAGGAATGGTTATATTCCGCATGATAGTTGTCATTATACCCCGTGGTTACTTAATGTATCGAAAGGCCAAGTTATCAGACTTAGGAGGAACTGTACGACACAGGAAGATTTTTATCAAGTAAAAGACCTAGGCCAAAGATTTGTGGATAAAGAATATTCTCAACCTAAAATGAATGAGGTGATCTAAGAAATAGGAAATGCAGATAGAAACTTATTTCTTAAAGATAAAGAGAAAAAGGATGATCATGTAGATCAAATAGCTGTTTGTTTAGATTTTAATATCCATTATAGAAAGGATGAGAATATTTTAAAAGACACTGGTCAATATTAAAAGCTGATCCCATTTTAAAGGATTTAATATTGGAGTTCTCAATTTTTAGATACAGGAAAGCCCCATCTTTAAGAGATAGAGTGGTTAAAAGTGTCCTTGTACATCCCATTAAAAATAAAAAAGTAACGTTTCTAGATCAAAAAGGCTTCTTCCCATGTAGGACATGCTACGCTTGTAAAGCCACAAAGGGAAAGAATCAGAAAAGGAATAGCTTTATCTCATCGGTTAAAGCAATGAGTATAATATTGATGAATTTATTTCATGTAGGACTGAGGGGGTCGTTTATGCATTGCAATGCAGTTGCGGTTTACAGTATGTAGGAAGAACCAAAAGACCTCTTTGGGTCAGATTGCGTGAGCATGTGCAAAACATTAAAAAGGGATTTCCTAAACATAGCGTATAGAAGCATTTTGCAAAATATCATAATAAGGATCCTACAGATCTTAAATTTTTGGGAATCACGAAGTACAAGAAACATTGGAAGGGGAGCCATGAGGTGCGTTCCCTTAGCAAATTAGAGTCAAAGTGGATTTATACTTTGCAAACACATGCCCCTAAAGGATTAAATATTGAATTTGATTTAAATTGTTTTATTTCTGATTATTAAATATGTTGGGGTATGAGGTTATAGTAAGGGTAGAGTATCTGGTAAAAGTAGGATGTCTATGTTTTTTTACTTCTTTTTCATTTGGAGAATGTGTTGTTTAAAATATTTTAATATATTTATATTGTCTCTCTATATATGTTTATAAATATATTGTACACTCTAGCTTTTGGATGAGGCTTGTATGTATTTTTATTAGCCCATTAGGGGTGGAGTTTTTTAGACCTATATTCACATCCTAGTTTATATTATATATATATATATATATATATATATATAATTTTTTATTTATTTTTCACCTTTATCAGTATTTTTATTTCTAATACTTTAATACATTTTAAAAGGTATTTTTATCTAATGGAGCTATTTGTTTTAGGATCTAAATATAATAAAGGGATTTTTTATATTTTTTAGGTATATTTTTTATATATTATTTAATAAAGGTGGTATTTACATCTATGGGGTTCATGTAATTAATTTATGTATTTTGGAACCCTATAGATTTTTATTTTATATTTTTTTCTATAAGAATAGGTGATTATGTATTTATCTGTGGGCTTGGTTTATCATCCGCTTATATAGCAATATGGGGAAGGGATTCTCATTGAGTTAGGCATTTGTCAGGGCTCCGGGTATGACCAGAGGTGTGTGTACTGACACAGGGAAAAGCAGGCTTCAGATATGATATAAATAAGACAATTTATTAAGACTAACAATACAAATATAAACGCAGTGCACCAAACCCCAAGCTAACACAAATACATACAACAAGGTGAAACAAACCCAAACCTAAATTGATATAGATACACAGGTACATACACATATAGAGCACAACGTAGTCAGCTCACGAGCCGGGTACAGCAACTAACGGACAGGTAGGTACAGGGGGTTAGGCAGAGAATGGTCAGGGTCACAAGCCAGGGATCAAACAGGAGAAGTCAGCAGAGGTCAGGATCAGGCAGGGTCGGCAACAAGTCAGGCAGGAACAGGAACAGGAATGCAGGTTACAAGATACAGGGCCCCATGGAAAAACACACACCAAGGCACAGACTGCAGGTCTGGCCATCCCTTAAATACACCTGCAATCAGCCCCAGGTGATGGCTAATTGCCGAAGTGAACCTCTGGTTGTTGAGAGCACCCGCTGGCCAGCCCTGGTACTGCAGCCCACAAGGCAGGTGAGTCCCACCACTATTGGCAAGTCCATTCCTGACAGTACCCCCCCCCTCAAGGAGCGGCCTCAGGATGCTCCAAACAGTCCTAGCTGGGCAAAATGTTCCACCGCCCGGTTCCGGTGACTGGCGGGATAACAAAGACTGGCACATCGGGCTGGGCACCGGACAGAGGCACTTCGAGCTGGGCACCAGATGGAGGCACTTCGGGCTGGACACCGGACGGAGGCACTTCGGGCTGGACACCGGACGGAGGCACTTCGGGCTGGACACCGGACGGAGGCACGTTGGGCTGGGATCCGGATGGAGGCACATCAGGCTGGATGCCGGATCACCAGGCGGAGCAGCGGGCAAGGGGCACCAGGCGGAGCAGCGGGCATCGGGTCACCAGGCAGGGCAGCAGGCACCGGGCCACCAGGCGGAGCAGCAGGCACCGGGCCACCAGGCGGAGTGGCGGGCACTGGGCCCCCAGACAGGGCGGCAGGCACCGGGCAACCAGGCAGGGCGGCAGGCACCGGGACCTCTGGCGGAGCAGCAGGCACCGGGCCCCCAGGTGGAGCGGCGTGCACCAGGCCCCCAGGTGGAGCGGCGTGCACCGGGCAACCAGGCAGGGCGGCAGGCACTGGGCAACCAGGCAGGGCACCGGGCCACCAGGCAGAACGGCAGGCACCGGGCCCCCAGGTGGAGGGGCGGGCACCGGGCCCCCAGGCAGGGCGGCAGGCACTAGGCCCCCAGGCGGGGCGGCGGGCACCGGGCCATCTGGCTCAACAGCGGGCATCGGGTCACCAGGTACAACAGCGGGCACCGGGTCATCAGACATTGGATCGTCTTGCTCGACCGCGGGCACCAGGTCATCTGGCTCAACAGTGGGCATTGGGTCACCAGGCACAACAGCAAGCATCGGGTCACCAGGCATCAGGTCATCTGGCTCGACAGCGGGCACCGAGTCATCTGGCAAGGCAGCGGGCACCGAGTCACCAGGCATGACAGCTGGCTCTGAGTCAACTGGCACGACAGTGGGCATCGGGTCACCAGGTATGACAGCGGGCACTGGGTCATCAGGCATGACAGCGGGCATCGGGTCACCAGGCATGAGAGTGGGCACTGGATCATCAGGCATTGGATCGTCTGGCAAGACTGCGGGCACCGAGTCATCTGGAAAGACCGCGGGCACCGAGTCATCTGGCAAGACCGCGGGCTCCAAGTCATCTGGCAAGACCGCGGGCTCCGAGTCATCTGGCAAGACCACGGGCCCCAAGTCACCAGGCACAACAGCGGGCTCTGAGTCAACCGGCCCAAAAGCGGGCTCTGAGTCAACTGGCGGAACAGCAGGCACGAGTCATCTGGCAAGACTGCGGGCACCGAGTCGTCTGGCAAGACTGCGGGCACCGAGTCGTCTGGCAAGACTGCGGGCACCGAGTCGTCTGGCAAGACTGCGGGCTCCGAGTCGTCTGGCAAGACATTGGGCTCCGAGTCGTCTGGCAAGACTGCGGGCTCCGAGTTATCTGGCTGGATCAGTTCATCAGGCTGGGTAGAGACATCAGGCTAGGTAAGGACATCAGGCTGGGTAGAGACATCAGGCTGGGTAGAGACATCAGGCTGGGTAGAGATATCAGGCTGGGTAGAGACATCAGGCTGAATAGAGACATCAGGCTGGGTAGAGACATCATGCTGGGTAGAGACATCATGCTGGGTAAAGACATCAGGCTGGGTAGAGACATCAGGCTGAATTGTGGGCGCCGAGGCACCAGGCTGCACCACGGAAGGCGGGTTCTCAGATGGGAGGCTGACCGGTTTGGATACTAGCAGGATGGTATTGGTTGGAAAGAACTTTTGCCTTTTCCTGGTTTTAGTTACCGGAGCACTGTAAGTAAGCGCAGGTTTGTAAACGGATGGAGCAGCTGAAGACAGAGTAGAGCTGGAGGATGGAACAGAGGAGGGAGCAGTTGCTACAGAGGACTTCTTTACAGGGTTAAAGATAGGATAGGTGCAGCGAGTGGGAGCAGAGGACTGATATGTGGTAGTTAGCAGAGTATACTGGGCCGTCACTGGGAGTGCTGTCGGGGATGCAGGAAGAGTGCCTTGAGCGGAGGAATGACGTTGTAAGCTGACTGAGGCTGGGTGCAACAAGTCTGACCATGTCTGCAGTATGGGTTGAACAAAGCTCAGCTTACACAAAGCCTGTCTGGTCAAAGACTGCACTGCGTTTATACAATCCCTTAATACCTGTTGTGAACGTGCAGCTTCAGATATGGTATAAATAAGACAATTTATTAAGACTAACAATACAAATATAAACGCAGTGCACCAAACCCCAAGCTAACACAAATACATACAACAAGGTGAAACAAACCCAAACCTAAACTGATATAGATACACAGGTACATACACATATAGAGCACAACGTAGTCAGGCAGGCCGGGTCGATAACTATCGGGCAGGTAGGTACAGGAGGAGCAGGCGGAAAGTAGTCAGGTCACGAGTCAGGTACAGCAACTAACGGACAGGTAGGTACAGGGGGTCAGGCAGAGAATGGTCAGGGTCACAAGCCAGGGATCAAACAGGAGAAGTCAACAGAGGTCAGGATCAGGCAGGGTCGGCAACAAGTCAGGCAGGAACAGGAACAGGAATGCAGGTTACAAGATACAGGGCCCCATGGAAAAACACACACCAAGGCACAGACTGCAGGTCTGGCCATCCCTTAAATACACCTGCAATCAGCCCCAGGTGATGGCTAATTGCCGAAGTGAACCTCTGGTTGTTGAGAGCACCCGCTGGCCAGCCCTGGTACTGCAGCCCACAAGGCAGCTGAGTCCCACCACTATTGGCAAGTCCATTCCTGACAGCATTTATATATGATCCCATTGGATATAGACACTAATATGGAAAGCTGGGTAGTGTAGACGCTCCCTGTAGAATATGGCCGTGGGAGACGGAGGTTGATTCTCCATCGAGTGAGGGATCCTCCCTTGGGGGAGGTTTCTCCTTTACTGCGGCGTATATAAGGGAGGTTCGTCGCTATGAACGCCAGCCCTGAGGAAGTCACATGACATTGTGATGCAACGCATCGGCCTGGACACCATCTTAGTACACCTTGTTGTATACCCATGCATAGTGGCACCCAAAAGCATGAGGTTTGAGCTGTAACTACTGCAGATACATCTCAGTGCGCATTTTGTTCATTTTTTGTCCTATTCATTTGGAAATAAACATATTACACTATGGAAGAATGTGTTTTATGTTTTAAATGAGATATTGGCACTGTATCTGACCTTATCTGGAGAGGAGCCATTATTTGAGTGCTGACCTGGTTGAGGGAGATTTTGTGTGTGGTGGGAGCAGATCAGTAGAGTGGCTACAGACTTGAAGGATCTATAAGAGGGATCCCATATGCGCTTTGACCCGCAAGGGTCGAAGTTTTAAGGTGAGAGGCTTATCGAGCCAGTGGTCGTATTGTCTTCTGTCAGCAGCTATATCCACTGTCACACAATATCAGCACAAGTGTTATCATTTATAGATTAAAGTGTTCTCATCCACGTTTATTGGATCAGACGGTGGAGTTTGATCCTTTTTTCATGTGGTTGCACTGTGTTTTGTACACTTGTAAGCACATTGTTTACACATATGTATGTTTTATCAATTGGGGGTTTTTCATATATGTGAGCATGTATATACATTATTGTTTGTTGCATTTATGTTTATTTTAAAAGGTACTTATTTAGAAGGTACTTATTGGTTTGGTATTCCATTTTTCAATAGATTGCATATTTATGCTTTATATGCTTTATGCAGACACATATTTTTAGTCACTATCACTGTTTGTTTTGTATATCACACATATTGTGGTAATATATGCAGTAATATATGCATGTTTTACTGATTTATACTTATGTTGGCACTGAGTGAGCAATATTCACTTCACTGATTTGTACACAGTGTCACTGTATTATTTGTTGATGTTTACACGGATTTATATAGTGTGGTACTTTATTATTTGTGGATGTTTATACTTTTGTATTTTTAGCTTATGAGTAGTGCTACATTGTTTATTCACATCGCTACTAAAAATACCGCATGAGTTATTTTATTAACTCATGCAGTATTTTAGTAGTGACAACCATGTGTTAATATTTCAGCTGTCAGCGGGGTTCCTGCTGGTAATTAAAAAAAAAAAAATTAATTGCAGGCAATTCACTCAGCTGTCAGTTGCCAGTTTTTAAATGTAATTACCGTTTTTTTCCCCCCTTCACTATACAGTACAGTAGTTCAGAAATTCAGCAGTTACTTTCCACCTCCAGCTGAAAGAGAGAAAGTTTATTTTAGTTATTTCCCCAAGTTAAAAGATACAATGTATCCTTTCAGTTTCTTAAATTATACAAAGTATCCTTTAGCTCTGGGAAACTAACAGCTAATGTTGTGAGCTATACTGAAGAAAAAAAAAGATGGCAATTGCATTTAAAAATCAGCACTGACATACATTTAGTATTTGTGAAAAAAAATTGTAAAAAATTTGTAAACCAAGGCATTATTTTCGATGGATTTTCATTCTTAAACCAAAAATTACATTAACAGAGGTATTCGTAAACCGAGGTATTACTGTATATGCTATGTTCTTTTTTTTTTATATGCAGCCTGTGGACTGAATGAAAAAAAGAGAAGAAATCTCTGCCAGAAAAAGTGTGTGGTATGCCCACCATTGGAATATACCGCCCTGCATCCACCCACTTCTAATGGTGGGCACACATTAGGTCACACTATGCCACATGCGCCAGTTCCAAGATTGTACAAATGTCTAAATAGTGGCACGCTTGAATAAAAATTGTAGTACCCCATATGGAGAATGATGACACCAAGTCCCAAACTATCTTGCCACTGCTCCCCATGTAGTCTGGGCATCTGGGGGCTTCACGTGACTATCTTTTCCCTCGTAAATCCGAACAATACTTGTGCTTGCCACTGCACCAGCTTGTACTACACTTATGGGACTCGCCACGTCACGAAGTCATACTGCAGTGCTGGTATTATTATTATTATTATTATACAGGATTTATATGGCACCAACAGTTTGCGCAGCACTTTACAATATAACGGGAGACAATACAGCAACAATACAGTTCAATACAAGAGGGTTAGGAGGGCCTGATCCTGGGAGCTTACAATCTAAGAGGTATGTGAAAGACCAGGATGTACTAGACCGCTGGTGTTGCCAGTTCACCAAAAGGTAGCGTGGTACTAGTACTCTCACTCTGCTGCATATGAGAGTCATCAAAATTTACCGGCAAGTGCTAACAGAGATCAGGCCTGATTCTGCCAACACTGCGGTTTAATGTGCAATGTATCAAGTAACAGTGACCTACTGACACTGCACTTGCTGGGGGAAAAGGGGGGGGGATAAGCGTAGGGGCTAAACGCAGGTGTTGGCAGGTGCCGGGGCTGATCCCGCTAACGCTGCCTTTTTGGGGACGCTATACTAATGTGAACGCTGGTATAGTGCTGATCTGATCAAAGATATTGATCCGTTCAGACACTATACTAGCAATGGAGATTTATTGTGTATGAGCGTCTTCCTGGCAATCAAGGGGTTAAATGTGATGACTAGTGTACTGACGGGCAATCTGACGCCATCTGGGAGGGGCGTGAAAACCATATATATGTGATTTTGTGCACCTGTGTCACCCTGTAACAGTATTTCTGCTATAGGACGGTCAGGAAGCGGTTACATAAGCAGTTTGTGTTATGACGCTGCGTTACTTTAACTGATAATTGCGCGGTGTGTACTTCACTGTTGCACACTGTCCTGGAAAGCTAATCTCTGCTCTCCCGTGACAGTGTGCTGAGAACTGACAGGGAGCAGAGCTGCACTGAAAACAATGCAGCTGTACTCTGTGTCACTGTTTGCCGGCAATTCGCCGGGACCCGGTGGGTAATGACCGGCCGGGACCCGGTGATTGACACCCGCGGCCGTGATCTGTGGGGCGGGTAGGGCGCCTCACGCGAGCCCCCTACCTGTTTTACAAAATGACATTTATAAGCATGATTTTGCGCAGTGATGCCGCCCTGCCGCAGTATATGTACTGTGGCTGGTCGGCAACCGGTTAAGCAGTTCTAATGTCTTGTGACTCTGTAACTTTCCCTTAGCCTAGAAATGACATCAATGTCATTCCTTGTGCTTCTGGCATATGCGCAGCAATGCTTTTTTGTAAAAATTTCCCAAGAAACAAAGGGCTTAAGGCCAGCATATTTCATAGCCATTACATTCCACCCTTTGGCATTGGTACATTGGTTTCCTGGGTCTGCCGGCATTGAGCTATCAAATACTAACCTAGCTTCCATGTTATTATCAAAGCCAATAAATAATCCCCAATAATAAGAGCCCATTTAAGTAAGGTTCCATCCAGCCCGCCGAACATTCCTCCCAATCCAATCCCAAAGTCCAGTCAAAATCCTTAAAGAAGTCTGAGATACTTCCTGCTTTATCCCAAGTGTCATTAATAGGCTTGAGACAGGCCTGAACCTCCTCCAACCTTTCATCTTCATGGGAGATTCGTCCAGTCTCATCCTTTATAAAAGAACAACAGGCATCTCCTACTACATGGCAAACACCACCTTGGACCGCCAGGAGGTAGTCCAGAGCCATCCGGTTCTGAAGTACCACCAGGTGCGTTTGTTCTTGTTCAGCTGACACTGCAGAAATAGCCTCACCTGTGGCATTGAAAGCTTCTTCGAGCACATTAAAGCAAATGATCCATTTTTGTGTATAAATCCCCCACACCTACAGTGGGGCAAAAAAGTATTTAGTCAGCCACCAATTGTGCAAGTTCTCCCACTTAAAAAGATGAGAGAGGCCTGTAATTGGCATCATAGGTAGACCTCAACTATGAGAGACAAAATGAGAAAAAAAATCCAGACAATCACATTGGCTGATTTGGAAAGAATTTATTTGCAAATTATGGTGGAAAATAAGTATTTGGTCACCTACAAACAAGCAAGATTTCTGGCTCTCACAGACCTGTACCTTCTTCTTTAAGAGGCTCCTCTGTCCTGCACTCATTACCTGTAGAGATGAGCGAATCGAACTTGGCAAAGTGGAATTCGTTTCGAATATTAGGCTTCTTCTCCCTTCATCCTCATCCTCCTCTACCTCCTCATCCGCTCTTCATGACACTCCAATTCCTACTTCTCATCCTCATACGCTCTTCATCTTTCATACCCCACCCCCTTCCCCCCTCATCCCCTTGTCTTCTGCATAGGGAACTCACTCATCCTAGTCTTCTTCACCCCACCAATCCCCATACCTCTGACCCCCTCATCCCACTCGCACTTCAATCCCCTCTCCCCCTAAAAAAAACTTCCCACCCCCCCTCTTCCCGACTACTCCTTCATTTCTTCCCTCCCCCCTTCCCTCCCCCCCTCCATCCCCTCCCCTCCCCGCTCCCCCTTTCCCTCCTGTCCGCCAATCCGACATCCTCCATCCCTCCATCTCCCCAACTTTCGCCTCCCCTGACTCCTCCAACTTCCTCCACTCTCCACCCTTTCCCTCTCCCCACTTCTCTTTCCTCCCCCCTTCCCTCGCCCTCCCCTCTCCCCTCTTCCCCCTCCCCCACCTACATCTTCCTCCAACATCCCTCCCTTTTCCCCCTTCCGACCTTCCCCCTCTCCTCTTCTCCCCCCCTCACACCTATTCCGAAAACCCTCCCCTCCTCCCCCTCCCTCTCCCCTCCGGTCTTCCCTTCCCCCACCATCCTCTTCCCCCTCCCTCACTCCCCCTCCGCCTCCCCCCCCCGACCCCCCTCCCAACCATCTTCCTCCCCCCCTTCCTCTACCCCCCTCCATCCTCAATACCCAGCCTCTCT